TGAAATTTACCATCTAATTAACTTTAAATTTACCGACCAAAAAAAAAATCTATGAATCAACTATTTAATGTACCAAAAAAAATCATTGCAATCGGAAAACTATAATTTCTCGGTGATTGTTGATCAAACAGTATGTGGCAAACGGATAAATGAAACAATATTATATAGTGGGTTAGTGACCGTTTATTCGATATATGTCCATCTAAAATTGTATTATTTCGCTTAGTTTGAATCATGCACAACTCTACTAACTAGTGGTTGAAACTCTGATAAAATTCACATAGTTGTCTACATTTTAAACATATATTGGCGAATCCAGATCCTGATAATAATTTTTCGAAAATAATGTTTTTTTAATTAAGATCCATATATTGAAATATCAAGGTATTCGATTTGTGTTTATTCCTTTTTACTATACAACGATAATTGTTTTGATTTTATAGCAAACCAATTTACATATAGATGTAGATAGACTAGGCTCGAACAAATGATATACCAAGTAAGCAAGGGTAGTTGCATTGTAAAGGAAAATGGACGCATACATGCATACGTTAGATACTAAATGGGAAGATATAAAAATCTAAGGTCTCGAAAGAACTCAAAACAAATGTTAGTGAAACCACTATAAAAGCTAAAGACGAAGAATGATCTGGCTTCGATCAAAGCTAACATCTTTTGTAAGTGCAAATGTGAAATCTCTACACAGAAAGGGAAACGTATGATAGTCATATGGATTGATTCTCTTGTTTGTTTTTTGTTATATAAACATATGTATTTTTTTTTTTTCATAACTTAGGGTAAGTATCCATGCCTATGGTCCAAACTAATCCATGGAGAAGATGCAGTCCATGGATAGACCTTTTTTCCGGATATGCAAATGGGTTATCCATGTAGGTTTCCAGGATAATATGATTTAGTTTCGCGTAACAGGTGGATCGAACCTGAAACTTGTTGGTGTCCCAGTCTCGTCTTTTTATCACTCGACCACAGTTTCCGGACTATAAACATATGTATTGATTCTTAAAACTCGCATTTTTATATATTTCAAAGCTATTTTATTGTTTTGCGAGTAACAAATAACTTTCTTTCTTTTTTGAGAAAGAGGAACAAAGGACTTAATAATATGTTTTGGGAAAAAACATATTTATAGTTTGCATACTTTAAGGGGAAAATACAAAGTCTGGTAAATAGCTCGAGGATGTTTCTTCAAATGGCCTTCACTTGTTCACTTTATAATCACATTTCGCTTTCTTTCTTCCTTTTCTGTCCTTTTCTCTTCATATTTTCTACCTTTTCACTTTTTTAAAAATAATTTGGTTGCTCGTTCTGTTTTCTCTACCTTTTCTGCCTTTTGAGAATATAGCAAATAACTCACGTTAAATAACATGTATTAAGAATCTACTAAAATTTTCAAAAAAAAAAAAAGAATCTATTATAGTTTTTGGATTTTGTTTTTCAGTAACTTTTCGAGTTTTATTTTTCTGTAAAATTTCGGACTTTGTTTTTTGGAAACATTTAAACTATGATTCTATAATATCCGACTTCATAATTTGGTTCGATTATGTATTATAGTTTAGACAAAAAAATAAATGTACCATGAACATTTTCTAAGTTTCTGCGTACAATAACCCCATGCTTTATACACACGTTCAAAATACATGGTACTTTATTTTATTCAATAGATATTGAAACGTGTTGCAGAGACATATAATTCGTTGAAATCCTGTTAAATTCACATGACAAATCAAAAGGGAGAATTAAAAGAATACTAGTATTATTATTTAGTTATCTAGTGTGCATGGACTTAAATTCTCACACACGTCACGTGAACAGTATAATCGTGAGAAAAGACATCCAAATAAATTTAGAGATTATAATTTTTAAAACAGAAGAAAAAATTAATAAGGAATATGAAGTAGGCGTGGGATAGCACCGACGGCGCAAGAAAAAAAGTTAATCAGAGAATATTGAAGCACGTCGGTGAATCACGAGAGACTTAACCAGACTCGTGTGAAACCAGCTACTTTTTCTCCCTTACCACACGTGTCTCTCTTTCGGGCCCATCTTCGGCCCA